GGCCCCTCCGCCGAGGGGCTCCCGCGGGGCCTCCTGCCTCCAGGGCCTCGTGAGAGAGAGGACGAATTAGGCAATCAGTCATAAACTAATAAAAATGGAACCTGCGCCAGCGTGAGCGCTGGATATTAAAGTGTTTCATCTTTGCAGCAGAGCTGGCACCAGCCTGACAAACACGCGGACTCGCCGGAGGGCTCTGCTGCTCGCTAGCGGCGCGGAGCCTGCACGGGCTGCGCAGCCCCCCATGTTCGATACAGAACGGACCAAAACGCTGCTTGGTGCTTTGCAACTCAAAGCAAACCCGACAAAATTCCTGTCTGCTGATCCAAGAGGCATTTAAGTAAAGCAAGACGACTTTCACAGCAGAAATAGGACCCTAAGCAAAACAGACGCACTAATGGAGTTTGTCTAAATGTTTCTGCTGCACCTGCAAAGGTGGCACCACCGTTACTGCTCGTTTATTGTACCTGCTCTTATGCAGTTCTATAGGCACTACCTTCAGTAAGCGGTCGCTGTTGAGTAAATCCAGCAGTTCCTCCTCAAATTCCTCCAGAGAAGGGTACAGATGGACGGAGATTTTATCCAGATAGCACGTGAAGGGTTTCATGAGCCGCGGTGCCAGGAAGCAATCATCTGAAACGACAGCGCAGCAAGGCACCCGTCACCCGGGGCTCCCGGGCACCCGCCGAGCCCTCATCCTGCCGCAGGCCACGCGCGGAGCGGGAATGCGCCCGACGCGCTCCCGGCAGCCGCATCCGCCTCACGCGCTCCCCCTGCTCCGCTACCGCCGTTCCGTCCAGCAACTCCCGGCTACGTTTTGCCTGAACTACCCCCTAAAGGAAGGGGAAGCCTCCAGTTAGCTTATGTGCAGCGCTCGTGCTCGCTGCTGCTCGCTTCCTCTGCCTAGGGGAGGGAAAAGGAGGAGCAAGGGAGGCTTCGTGGCACCTTCCTGTGTTTAGCAGTAATTGATGCAAACTAAGAAGTGTCATCACAAGAGTTTTCTAAGCAGCAAGTAGAAGAAAATGCAAGTCAAGAATTGATAGTCTATTCTCCAAATTTTCAGATCCAGAACTTTCACAACGTCAACTCCAAGTGCAAAGCTCTGAAATTCCCAGGTAGAAACTTCGGAGAGCTCCGCATGGTCAGCTCTTCCCTCCAGACTTGCCTCCAGCCAGCCAGAACCCTGGCACGACACGGGCAGTTCTGAACAGGTTGTAAAGGCTCCTCCTAAGACTCAGCTGAATGGCCCTAATTAAATGGACCATTATTTATCCACAGCACTTTCCAGGCAGTAAAGCAATTACCAGGGAAGAACACAGTGAAACCACTCTGACATTTTAAGGGCTGGATATAAAATGGTACAAGTACGTCTCGGAGAGGAAAATTCCAGAGAGGCCCGTGCCAGCGCTCCCCACGAGTGCCAGAGCCCAGGGGAGCGATTCCCACAGCCGGGAACTGCAGCTTCCCGCAGGAGCATCTTCACTGGGAGACCGGGGTGGAGGACGTGCAGCCAAAAGAGCAAAACACCCCACGGTCAGCAGCGACTGGGACACCCCTTCCTGCGCGCGTGGATGCAGCGGAGGGCTCGGAGGGAGCCGCCTTCGCGCCCGCGTTCGCCTAACGCAGGGGCCAAGAGCAAGGCAGTGAAGATGCTACTCTGAGCTCACACGCCCAGCACTAAGCTTGCTGAAATCACAAAGAAATCACAGGGACACCATAGGCAGCCCGGCTGCTGCGCCTAGGCCCCGTTTCATGGACCAGGGCGCTCGCAGCAGCATCACTGCTGCCAGCACAGAGGCAGCGACATTTAAGACGCGGCTGCTGCACCCAGGAAGCACCCGTGGCCCTCCGCACCC